GGCAGTGTACATGTTCTCGCCCTTCTCCATCTACTTCGCCGACGAAGCCCAAGACAACGAAGTGGAAAACGAAGGCGACGACGCGTCTTCCAAAAACCAGTACCTGAGCCAGTCCAAGTACGGCCAGCAACGCGGTGCCGGTCCTTCTTTCCTCTACCAGCCCAACTTTGACAACCGGCGCCGGTTGAACCTCATTCGGCGCCTCTTACGCCGCCGCAATAAAAAGGACCCATCCTCCGATGCGTCCACTCAGATCCCCATCACTATCCCGGACTCGTCGCCAGTCTTTGTCAACGGCGACTCTCGCGAAGACACCAAAGAACTCATTGCCAAACTACTCAAATACAGCGCCAAAAAGGGCGGCAGAGACGACAGTGCGAGTGGAGAGGAGTACGGCAGTCGTTTCCGCGGGGCGCCTTCAGCAGGAGTGCTGCATCAGGCGGGTTATCCAGCAGCTGCATTCGGCGGCGGGGCGCCGAATTTGTTCCGGACGCCCACGGGTCCGCCGTCGCCGGGGGTTCTGCCTTACTTTGGATGAACACTGGACAGACCGACATCTTTTCTTTTTCTTTTTTTTTTAAACTCCAGAAGGATGTAAATTAATCATAAGACACAAATTTAAGAATGGCCGAAAATAAATGAACGACCTTCGTTTTTTCAACAAGGGTTATGAGTCCGATGTTTTCAATTTTGGGTGGCATTGAGTCAAGTGTCTTTGTGGTCTCTGCAACTATAGGCAATGACGAATGGGAAAATCCTTTGAACATTGTTCAAATTTGTTTTTTATCCGTTCATTCATCCTCAGAAAATGCTGGGCAACCTATGCCGCGGATTTTTCCTGGGAATGAACAGATGGGATTTTTCATCTAAAAAAGTTTCAAGGTTTTTTTCATTTTCTACCCTCATTTGGGGTCATCAGAGCAATTAGTTTTGTTGTCATCCTTTTCAACAATTCACACAAGAGCAGAGCATTTGCAGAATTGCCTCAAGGAAAATTTTTATCTTTTTCCTGATTTTCAACTGGAGTCTTCATTGTCTCATGCTGAGGAATCTTGATTTGCTTCCCTCATAGGAATTTCAAGTGGATGATGGGGAATCCTGCCACTACTTGTAAGTCAGGACGCCTGGAAAACAACAAATGCGAATTCCTGAAATTGGCTTCAATAGCCACCTGAATGCTCATCATGGAACCCGCCTGTATATACAAGGTTGATTTGTTATTTAATTATGGAAAACCTTATAAGGTCAAACAACAGATGATAAGTGCTGGGAAAATTATGAAAGAAAAATATCCCAATTCATAGAGCAGGTATTGGCAGGTAATGTTATTATAGATGGAAGATTGAAGAGGTTTGTCACAGAAGAAGTAATATAGAAAATTGAATATTGTAGGATGATCCTGAATTTCTTTCTGCAGATGTCATTGTGCTTGCGAAACAAGGTGTACACCGAAAGAGGATTGAAAAATCTAATGGAGATTCCAGTAATTGTTCCCTTCTGCGTTGATGTCACCCCATTAACTTTCCTGTGAATTAAAAGGCATATTGAAAAAGTATTCTCTGCCTCAAAACTAGTATTGCCAACTGGTGCTGGCACTTCACACTGATGGCCAACCAACCACCTGCCCACACAGCCATGCTCCCATCTCACTCAATGGCTCATACATCAGCACCCTAGTTGACTCAGGGGCTGCAATCAATGTTGTTCACCCCACCCTGCTGTTCAACACCCAACCTCTCCACCCTGCAATGCCATAACTCTCCACTGCTCCCTGGTCTGGACCTCTTCTTTGGGTGCTTGGGCAGACACCCCTCAGTGTCCAAGTTTGCTGCTCACAAGGCATCCATGACTTTGTCATCTCCCCCAACATTGGACCCTTTGCCATCCTTTGGTGCCCCTTCCTCCATGCCAGTTGGACCACCCTTGGCTTCAACCCACACATAAACACACCACCCTCCACCCAACTGATGTCCTCCTCCTTGACCTAACTGATGACCAGCATGCCATACAGGTTAAGAATGTACTCATGTTTCTATCTTTCTGGTGAAGATGTCGAGAGGACCTGTATGGTGGTAGGAGGTAGTGTGGTAACTGTAGAGAGGTCTGGTTCTTGGTTAGAAACACTCCCGGATAGGGACTCCATCAACCACAACTGTCACCATTCAACATGAACTTAAGGAGATGTTACACCTATGGGTTATCAAGGAATCAAGAAGCCCATGGTTGGCCCCTATTGTCATTGGCTGCAAAAGGAATGGGGACGACAATTTCTGCTTGGATTTCCTACAACCAAACAAAGTTATCATGCCTGACCCATACCTATGCCCAACGTCAATGAGCAAAGGGACTGGCTCCTTCATGCCAAGTACTTCACATCCCTCAACCTTCACAAAGGCTACTGGCATGTCCCCACATTCCCCTGGGATGGTCAAAGAAATTCAATCAGAGCTGCCCACAGCCCACTATCCTAATGAGGAGAGGAATCTGCTTAGGTTTGTTCAAAGTGTTATCCAAAAATTACAATACCAAAGAGTGTGATCAACAATGATCAGTCATCTATAACTGCTTCTTATAATTAGAGGAAAAGGGATCAGAGATTTAAATTGTTTTTTGCAACTTCCAAAGGAAACACAAAAGTTACTCCGTGAGAGTATTTCAAATTTTATTTATTATATCTTCACGCACAGTCAATACAATACAATGATACTGAGCGCAGCAGCAAGGATTTGGCATTTGGACAGATTCTGGTGCAGTCAACATAAAGCAACATAAAATGCACCTGTATATATAGCCTTGGTTTGCTGAGGTCAAAGAACACTCATAGAAAACGATTTGGATTGGGAACATCACACTTTGTTTATTCAAAGGAAGGAAGCGTGAGTGCAGTTGGGAAAGTATTCCATCAACAACTGGATTGGGAAATATAATTGCTAGCGCACCAGGCGCAGACAAGCGTAGCAGAAATACATTAGCTTAAAAGGGTTGTGCGGAAAGTGAGGGGTGTTGTGGTTGTTAATATGAACACAAAAGCTTTGAATTTTTCCTTGATGACAGAACCTTATTTAAGAGTGATGATGGAAAAAAGGAGACAAACTCTGGGATCATAGACTCCTCCATTACATGAGAAGCATTTGAAAGTTGGCACAAGAAGTGTTGAGGTTCATAGATCCACAAGAGCAGGAAAACAATCAAGAATACTAGAAGAAATATTACTCAAATTATTCTACTAATTATTGTTGTGATAACTTGTATTATTGAGAATAAAAAACAAAATTGTTCACTCACTTTACACATGTTGAAAAGAGGAGAAACAGCCTAGGGTCAGGGAATCCTCTGAAATATGAGAAGGATTGCTCAGTCACAAGAAGCAGTATGCCGGAGGACACATCCAGAAGAGCAGGAAAACAATTAAGAAAAATCTCAGTTGATGTATGTATTGCCCTAGTTGGACCCATTTGATATCATTAGCATTTGTCTTGTGTGGAATTAAATTAGCAAAATGTTCCACAAAGAAGTGAAACTTTTTGTTCCTTTTCACACATTCAACAGAAGATATTAGGGAGAAACACAATCCAGTCATTTTATCTCAAATAGTGTCTGTATCAAAGTGTCTTCAATTCTCTCTGTGCCTCAAAATTATTTGTCTCAATATGTCCCTGTCTCAAAAAGTTTCAGTCTTGATTTGTCCGAGTCACCAAAAGTTTCTGTCTCAAGTTGGCCCTGTCTTGAATGGTCTATCTTAATTTGTCCTGGATCAATGTTTTGCATGGCCCAGAGGGTTCTGGGAAATTATTTGTAATGAATCTAATGTTGGCAACTTTGAACATACAGTGAAAGTTATTTTGGCTGTTTTATCAAGTGGCATTGCATGGGTTGATGAACAAAGCACTCCAGATTAAACCTGCAACTAAAATTCACAGGGAAGTCAACATGTGAAATTTCAAAGCTGTCTCACTTTGCACAATTATTAAGAGCTGATGTGATTGTTTGGGATACAAAACCAATAGCCCATTAATATTTACTAGAGGTAATCGATTTGACACTTCAAAACCTTCCCAGAAATCAACTATCGTTTGAAGGCAAAATGACACTCTTAGTTGAAGGCTTTTGTAGAATCCCTTCTTCTGTTCACCAGGGATCTGATGCAGAAATTCTGCACTCATGCCTCACACATTCCCATCTCTAAAACCATTTTCATATCATAAAGATTGAAAATATTTGAGAATGCCAAATGATACAATTCAAGAGTGTCATGCACAAAGCCAGAGTTTTCAAATTTTCTACTCAAGATTGAAAATGGAAGACAAAATATTGTTGCAGACCCAGGAAAACTCATAGAAAGTATTCCTTGTGCATCAGAAAAGGACACTCAACAAATGCATCCAAATTAGCATCTGCCTCCTGTACTATTTGGACATGTTCAGAAGTCACGCATTGTTGACACAAACAGTAAGCGTCCCATGTGGTCATCTACCCAGAGGACGGGAAGATGAAATCAAAATGGATATGTCCATATTTCCAAGCAGTAGGATGCATCCAAGGAAGACGCGGGTATTACACGCCCTTCTAGCATCTAGAATGAACATGTTCAAAAGGTTGAGAATTGGATGCGTCCAGGCTGTGTCCAAAAAGGACTCATGTGAGGTTTATTGCATGGGCAGCAGCAATGAACTGGCACTGGCAAGGTGGAAGCATCACAAGCAAGTCAGGACATGCACAAAAGATCCCAACATGAATCAACGTCTAGACAATATTTTTTCTTTTAGCCCTGGAAGTTATCTATCAGAGACAATTTCAAAATGAATTTATCTTCATTTTTGAATCTTAAATTTCATTTACATTGAAAAGTGGGAGAGTTTAGTAAGTTCCGTGTAGTCTTCAATACAAATGTAATTTAAGATGGTTTTGAAGTTTTTACTTCAATTTAATTAAAAATTTCTTCAGAGACTAAGAGAACTTCAAGGGCTAAAAGAAAAAGGCTAAAATGAGTACAAGTCTCGAATTCCTTATACAGATTCATTTTCAGTCAGCGCACCATCTCTGGACATAGATACCCAGATATAGATTGTTAGGCGAAAGCACTCTTTCAATCCCTTCACGCACGGTCTCACACACACCTTGCACCATCAACATCACGATCCAGGATTGGCATCAGCCCCTATCCAAACCCTACCTGAAACGGTGCGTCTATGGTCAAAATACATAGAGCACTCTCTCGTTCCACAAAAACAATCTTCTACAATCTTTTGGACTTGTTCCACAATACTTTCTCCTTTTTTAGAAAGTTCGGTAGGAAAAGAAAAGAAATTGTGAAAATGTATCGCGTATTACAGTATATGAAGGAAGGGAAAGATCAGAAGTTAGAACGCACCAACAATAAAATCAGTGCAAACATCAGGACTATCCAATCGAATATCATCCTCAAACCAGTCAGGGTTACCATGGTATCTAAAACTAATTTTGTGTATCTCCGCACTTATCCAAACCCTTGCTACAGTATTTTTGCATCCCGCATTCGGTTTGCAGTAATAAAATACAAGGAATCAACCTCAGCATTTGAGTTCTCTTCATGCTTGCGCAGATTTTCCTCCATTTTCAATTCCATCTTTTTTTTTTAAATACTTCTGGCGCTCTTCTGCTGATAACCAGGGAAAGTTTCCAAAAAGTTTGAAAAAATGACATTTTACAAAGATATAAACTCACTTTCAACACTGAGATTTCTTCAGATCTGGTTTCTCTTGTTCTGCTTGGAAAGGCTTCTTGATGGATCCCTCACAGAAATTCCAACACCCATCATTATTTCCTGGGGCTGAGAACTCCTTTTCCTTCCGGATCCTGCACAACGAAAGCAAATAAGGGAATCAACTCTGAAACACCTATATAGGCAAGGGAATCAGGCATTAACCCAAATTACCAAGACTGAACGAACCTGGTTGAGTTCATGATGTACTTGAATGGGTGCAACAAACCAGCTCAACAAGTTGACAAGCTCCAAGTTTTTTCATCATGGCAAATGTTGATCTAGTGCAGCTGCAAATACAGTATTATTTTTCCCGAACTTTCCGCTCGCCGCGATGAAATGTCGCGACTTCGCGTTCATTTTCCTAGGGATTAGAAAAGCGCCAGTTCTTCACACGCTGCCACCATAACATTTCAACAGCACACATTTTAACATCTGACGCATCATTTATCTTTTGATGCTTCCTACGAAGTCCTGAAATACAAGAACGCATCATTTTATAATTAAAAAAAATTAACCACAGAGAAATGTTTTTGTCATGAAATTTCACTGTACTCTCCCAAATGATTGAGAAAATTGCGCCGAAATTAAAAAAAGAAACATGTCATTCGAAAACAATCCAGTTGTTGGCACCTCATGTTTCTCCCATTTTTATTCTCAGTAGGCCACAGCAGAACGAAGTACATTACAATTCAAACATTTCACTTCCACATTTGTCTGATGATATGCATGAAATGGATTCAAGTCCATTTCCTAATCACACTCTGACGATCACAGGCAAAAGCATAGTTTAGACATTCATTGAAAACAACATGCATAATTTTCAGCATCCCATAATTTCAAAAAATCACCAAAATATAATAGATGCTGCGGAATTCCAAGTACTGCGCTATATCAAGTTGCTTCATCATCCCATGAACAATCCTTAATTGAGCATTACAGTCTCTTTGTCAAATTAAAAAAAAAAATTATTGGCAATGAAATCTTGCATTTTGGGAAGGGATAACTTTCTGTGATTTGCGTTTGGAAGTGGCAATTTTCTCGTGCAGAAAATGCAGAGTAAAAAAAATTGCACAACAGCAAAAATTACAGTAGTCGTCAAGGCAGATTTTGACAGTGGATCATCAATTTTTCCAGAACCAACAAATGAAGAATATTTTCCATGTTATTCCAACTACATGGAATGAGTTTTGACATTCATCAATTATTCTTCTTGAAATTTTCATTTCTGGGGCAAGCCCGAAAAACATCTGCTACATGGTACAATATTTGTTGGGCAAGTCATTTCTTCCTCATTTTCCTTGCATTTTCTGGACCAGGCATTTGCTAGGCAAGGCATCACTGTACATTGTTTGTATATGATCAGCACAGCACATCAACATCAAATACTACACCTACATTGTTTGTACATGCTTGGTATAAAAACTTTCATGTTTTAGAAGTAACACTGGTGAGGTGATAGATACATTTTAAACGTTTATGGAACAATTATCATAAGTGCATAATTGTTCCCATTCATATAACTTACAATTTAGTGCCCAAAAAAATGAATTTTTTTGGCTGATGCCATCTTTGCCATTGAAAACTCTGAAATATATGGTTTTGCACATTTTGCACACGGATGGGAGGGTTCCATCCAGTGTGGGAAAGTCAAATGTGCATGAACTGTGATGTAGCTGATAGCATGTGTGAGTAACCTATCTCAAACTCAATGGTAATCAGGGGGAGATGTAAAAATATCTCATTGCACACATCCATAAGAGACATATGTCATGCATACATCATTTGTATATTGTTTGTACATTGTACAATGTTTGTAGATTGCTAGAATATCATTTGTACTTTGTTTGTACATCATTCTAAGATTGTTTGTACATTGTATCAACATTGATCTAAGTAAATTCAAAATATACTACTCACACCCATCAAAGAAATATACATTGAGAAGTAACTTGTAAGATGCTTGGAAAAAATTAATCATTCCTGGAAGAATTACTGGAAATGCATAAAGTAATTGCTTCTGTGAGTATACATTCCTTATTTAGTCCCCACTGATGTACAAGCAATGCACATTTGCTTCTGGTAACATATTCCTCATTTTGTGCCCAGTAAGATCATGGTTATGATTATTCATAAAATTGACCTACATCCCACACCAGCTCCAGGTCAATCAAGCAAATTTAATGTGGCAATGCAAAATTGCACCAATCTTCGATGGTTGAATGTTGTCTGGGAAAGCCATTGGCACTTAAGCATGCATGCTATACAATATTTTTGGTAATTGTTGTCTGTTTTGTATTGAAGTTTGTAGAAATTTAGAAACACAATGAACTTCCAGAATACCACTTGTCAAGGTACTGCCCAGCAAATAATTTGTAACAGGAAGGGCTGGGTGTAACTGCTATGCATTATGTCACACATTTGTTATGTTTAACTGTTATGCACAGCTTCTTCTGCTATGCCTTCATTTTTTTCTTGGGTGATGTACTGAAAAATTCTTCTGCAATGCATTGGGAATGTATTTTCAAAGCATTCTATCATTACACCTGTTCTCAAAATTTTGGCTTTACTTTTCTTTACTTTAGCAGGCAGGCGTTTTAAAATTCTTGTTGTACTACAATGCCAAAAACAGTTTCTTGATGTATATCCTTGATTTTAGCAGACAGGCATCACAAAATGCCAGCGTGATACAATGCCAAAAACTGTTTCTTTATCTGATTCTTTGGTTGTAGATTATTTTAAATGATTATTTACATTTGCAAAATAAATATAAATTATTTGAAATATTGCTTCAAATTTTCCATTGAATTCCGATTGAATTGAACATTTTTATTTGTTGGTGCAGCAATTTTTTTTACGTTGCTGTGGTTTTTTAAATCTGCAACAATGTGCTCATTGCATTACATTGTTGTGGTTTTTGAAAACCACAACAAAATAATGCATCATTAGTTTGTTGTGCTTTTCAAGAACCACCAAATATTCTTTGTAAATAATAAAAAATATATTAAACAATATTTATGAATATATTTTCATGTGCTTCTAATATTTCTAATTTCATCATTCACAACAAATTTTGATTCATGGTCCATGTGGACAATTCAAGCTTGAAGCACCATGCATGAAGAATGCAAAATGCTCTAAACGTTTTCCCAAAAAGTTCAGCACAGCAACATATACAGACAATTGAGAATATTCACAAATGAGGCACTTCAATGATGGATGCACAATCATCAGGAAGGGTGTGGCAATGGACAATTGTTGGGTTGTGGATCAAAATCCATACCTACTTCTCAAATTCAATTGCCATATCAACATGGAAATTGCCTCAACCATTGCCTCAATAAAGTACCTTCAATAATAAAGCAGTGGACAAACACACTTTGTTTGGAAATGACAAGAAGAATGGGAACCCAGACAATGCAGTGGGAGTGAAACAATTGGCCAAATGGTGTCCTGTTCTCCAATGGACATTGAACAATACCATCTAAGGATTCCCCTATTCTACCAGAAGGGAAAACAAGTTTCAAGGCTATCAAAACAATCAATGGTGTTGAGCATCAATCATACAAGGAAGCTGCAAGAGTAGCTGGCTACCTTGAAGATGATGCAGAATGGAGCTACTGCTTAACTGAGGCAATGCAGTACCAAATGCCAGTACAGTTTAGAAGTCTGTTTGTAACAATGCTGGTGTACTGCCAGTCATCAGATGATCATGGGATGAATATTTTGGGGCCCATGTCTGAAGTTTTCAAACATCAACTTGGAGCAGACAATCTCAATTCCATAATCATCCTTAGAACTCCAAAAGTAATCAATGGTTACCTGAGCAGCAACAACAAGTCATTGACTGACTATCCTGCTGTTCCTCCATTGCAGGACTTACACAATGTACAGGGACAAGATTGCATCAATTTTGCATGGTTGCATGAGTTGACATACAATCAACAACAACTGGAAGACATTTCCACAAAAGCAACACTCATGACTGAAAATCAAAACGCAGTCTATTACATAGTTTAAAAAAACTGTCCTGGACCCAAGTTCTCCTCAAAGAATGTTCTTCTTGGATGGGCCAGGTGGTTCAGGGAAATCATTTGTCCTTGATCAAATATTGGCGTCACTATGACAATGACAAAAAGGGGTCTTCCGTCAACGGAGTACACCTTAACGAAGGGAGGAAAACTACCCTCACCCTCCTGTATGTCACGTAAGTTCTAAGTTTGACGGTAACTTTGATTGTCGGTTCAGTTGGACACGTCAAAGTTCCGTTAGTTACCTTGCAGAACTTTTGAAAAGGGCAGAGTTGATTGTTTGGGATGAGGCATGAATGGCACATCAACACGCACTAGAAGCAATTGTCACTAAATGTGAGATCTAGCAACAAGTAGAGGAAGTTTAAAACTTAGAAGAAGGGAACAGAATCAAAGATCAAAATTAAAGATAGAAGATCAAAGATAGAAGTGCACAAAGTTGAGACAAATTGTAAGAATTGGACACTGAAAAATTTGTAGAGTTGATGAATGTGGAAATTGTTTGGAAAAATGCGTTGCAACACAACCGCTTGCTTCAAAATTTTGGAGACAAGTAAGTATTTTCTCAAATTGCATCCCTTTTTATCAATTCTTCTTTGGTGTCATTTCTCCTTCTTGTGGTTCTCTTCCTCCCCTTTCTGTGGTTGGTTGGCATCCAGTCTCCAGTGGTTGTCTTCCTCTTGTCCTTGATCATACCATTTCTGTAACGGTTTTTGTGAAAGTAGGTTTGATACATTTTTTATCATTTTGGAATATTTTTTCCAGGACAAATTCCCCCCAGCTCCAAAAAATTGGACAATTTTTTGGAGAAATTTCTGAGTCTTCTGCAGACTTGGAAAAATACAAGGACATGATAAAAATTAGGGAACATGCAATCTTGAGGCATCCTCTTGGGAAAAAGTTTTCCCTTTTTCTTTTTCATTTAGGATAGATGTCCTTGTATTGTGTGATATTGTTTTAAGTTTGTGCATATTTGTGTGTTTTTTGATCTATCATGGTGGGCGTTTTCCAATTTCCGTGGTTTTACACAAGTTGTTTGATTTGGCCATTTTTGCTTCAGTTGTCTTGTGTCCATTTTTTCAAGATGAGGGGTACTGGAAAAAATTGTTAGTTTTTCTGTGAGCTGCATGTTTCTTGAGAGTTGATAGTTCCAGTTAGACAGGGGCTGTCAAGTCTCTCTTGATGAATCTTTTTGCTCTTGTTTGGTTATGTGTGTCGAAATCCAACAGTTCCAATTTTGGGGGCTGTCAAGCATCTCTAATTATTTCATTTTCTTGCTCCACTTGATTGTGTTTGAGAGCTGATGGTTTGAAAAGTGTTAAAAGCCATCAATCAAACCTCTCATTTTTATATTCTTGGTCTTTTTGTGAACGTTGAAGTGTTTGGAGAGCTGATAGTTCAAACAAAGCTGTTGAGCCTCTTGCGAGTGTATTTTTGTGATTGGGGGCCCCTTTGTGTGCTTTTGTTCTTCTTTATTTTTCAAAAGATCAGGTGATCTGACTTTTTTGTGTTCTCTCCTTTTTTTAGGTGTTGTTTTGGAAGCATTTCTTGTTTTGTGTATTTTGTTCTTTGTCGTTTTGTGTTAGTTGTTGATGCGGTTTGAGATGGCTGACAAGTTTAGTAGTGATCATACAATCTTTGACATGGCGGAAGGTTAGTAGTTTCCTGTTTTGTTTTTGTTTTTGGTGGTTTTTATTGTGGTTGATTTTGAATCCTGATGTTGTGCTTTGTCTTGTGCTGGTTTGATTTCGTCTCACTTTTCTTTTTTTGTATGGTGTAGATGAACTGTTGCTTTTGGCAGAGGCTTCTGAAAATGTTGAGTCTGAAAATGCACTGATTGGATTGGGTTATGAGGGTGCTTGCATTATCCTTGACGTTCTGGAGTCATTGGCAATTGTTGCTCTGTTGTTGCAGTATTTGTTGCCAACTGAGTGGAATAAGATGGATGAGATGCTTCAAGTTGCTTGAATGGATTTGTACTGTGCGGATGCCTTGTGTGGCGCCGCATTCTTTCAAGATCACGTGACCCAAGCATGCCATGCACACTCGGGCACGTTGACAATAGCCGTACACGGGTATGGCGTGGCACACGCCCGGTATGTCGCAACACCAACTACCGGGTCGGAGATTTCAGGAAAGGAGGAGGAAGGGTCGAAGAGCGTGGCGTGGGCTCGGAAGCCCACAGAACAGCGTGTGCGGCGATTCAGAGTGGAACTCTGCTGTGTTGTCTATTTATCTGAGAATTTACCTGTCTTGAAATTCGGTCTGAAGCTTTAAGTCTGAAGTGTGTTTGTGAGGTTGAATAAAAGAAGCTAACTTCTTGGGACTCCCTTCTGGAGAATCCGGCCGGTAAAGGCTGAATCTGTCTTTTCTTTCTACCTCAAATCCCTTGTCGATTTCCACCCGACAAACTGGTGGCCAGCGGGAGCCTTTTTAGAGGCCTTACCCTGGTGTTTTCGTTTTTATGGTGTTCAATTTTACGTGTTTGATTCACGCGGGATTTTGTGTGCCCTGAGCCCTCCCGGTGCGACGCGTATTAAAATTGTACTCACCGCTTTTGAGTCCCATTGCTTCTTTTTTGAAAAAGATGTCGGCAGTGCCACCAACACCACCAATCGCGAGTAGGCTGCGTGCCGGGCGTCCGTCTCATCGTGTTTCGGGACCTACGCCCGCGCCACCAGCCAGCCATCCCATCTTGCACAGTACTTCCAGTACTGGGAGTCGGGCAAGCATGACTTCACGGTCCATGCGCCGCTCCCAGCCAGCACCCCCGTCCTGTGCTCCAAATGAACCTCGACGCTCCGCTTCTTGGGGCCAGGGTTCTGTTGCCGCGTCCAGCCATCGCTCGGTGATTAGCACGGCCCGCCATGGGCGTCCCGCCATGGTCCAATATGTCCTATGCATCGCGAACATTGTAGGGGCCATCGATCACCTTCTGCGGACACCCGAACTCGGCAATCCGCAGGCAAGGTTTGAATACTTTGTGCCCAATCTCCTTCAAGCCGCTGCGCGTCTCATAATGCTGCAGCCCGGGCACTTTACCAAAGTAGAGGCGGCCTCCCTACAGCAGCTCGCGGCAGAGGTAAACAGCATTATAGTTCATGCCCCTGATGTTGCCAACGGCACGTGGCCTAACCTTCGCCCTACGCAAGCGCGCGTTTTAGGCGTTGCCTTTCCGGTGCCTCCGGCACAACTGGACAATGCCCCTGGTCCATCTGGATCTGCGCCTCCCCCTAGCGGCCAACTTGCGCCCACGCCACGGGGAGCAGGCTCGCAGCAGGTTGCGTTGGTCCCGAGACCACGCGCTCCGTCAGTTCTGTCCCCGCAGTTCCCAGAGAGTTATGAGCTCATGGATCCTGGGCCATCCTCCGTACTGGTCCCACCGACCAGGACATTGGATGCATACAGTCAGACCCTCCGGATCTTTGGGACAGGACCAGCCCCACGTTTGGCCCATCATGATCTTGTTAAATCATACGAGAAGCAGACCAGGGCACCAACCTTCCCAAAATTTACAGGAGCATCAGCGTCTGACTACCCATTTGAACGCTTATGGCATGATTTCACTCCTGTCCATATCATACCGGTCATGCGCCTAACTGATACTGAACGCATTTGCATCCTGTTACTACACATGGATGGCAACGCACGCCGCAATCTCGGCACCTTTGCGTACCAAGATACAAGCATGGACTATCTTAGTGTGATACAGGTCCTTTTTGCAGAATATGGGCAAACCGATACACATCGGCTTAAGCTCTATCAAGAGTTTGATGCCTTGCCAGCACCCACTATGTGCGCGGAGTTCTATGACTACTTTACGCATGTCATTCGCATTGCAGAAAAGCTAAGCACCATTCAAACCGACATGAACCAGGCCTGCCTGCGCATGGGCCCTGTTCTTTGCACTCACTTGCAGCGCGCCCGCTTCCTAGAGCTACTCCAGGTCCACTCTGATAAACATGGGTTCCCGGTTGAAAATGAGAATGCCTGGGCCAGGCGCCCGCATCATCAGTACCGCTTTATTCACAATTACTTTGCGCTAACACTGGGGATTACTGAACCACCCCCGACCCCGGCCTTCCAGGGTGCTGCGGCAGCCCCTGCGGGGACCACTCCCGCAGCAACCACCACCACACCTGCCACTCTGGCAGCAGCTGCCTCGCAGGCCACTGTTGTGGCCGTTGCCACTACCTCAGGCACCGCCCAGCCGTCCAACGGCCGCGGTCGGCGCAATGGCAACAACCAGTCAAACGATAATCAGAATCGGCGCCGCTCCTTCAACCAACAAGGGCGGTCCCG